TTGAGGAAACACCACGTTGTCTTCAACAGCAGCTGTACCATTCTGCGTTCCCACCAGCAGTGGAGAAGGGTTCCAATTTCCCCACGTCCTCGCTGGGGTTTTAAACCAGGGATTCTGAGTTCCATGGGAAAGCGTGTTGGATCTTTGCACCGCGGCCCGGGTGCCAAGGTTCTGTTTTCCCTGTATTTTCCATCCCTCTACTTCCTGCCCCTCAGTCTGGCATTTTCTTCCTTGTTCTGCTCTCTGGTTGGGTCTAAGCTGTTAACGCAGCTCTTGGTCTTTCTACCCTATCTTTGACTTCTATTTCATGGTTTTCTACCACTTCACTGTTTTCTTATTAGTAATTTCTTTGAGTTTGTTTAATAGTGTTCTAACTTCTGAAATAGGATGTGTAACTCATTAAAACCAAAAAACTCAAACTCACTGCCGTGAAGTCAGATCCAACTCTAGTGACCCCTCCTTGGGTTTCTGAGGCCGTATCCCTATGGAAGTAGATTGCCCAACCTTCCTTCTGAGGAGTGGCTGGTGGCTTTGAACCGCCAGCCTTCTGGTTAGCAGTCAAATGCCTTAGGCACTGCCCACCACAGCTCCATTAGTTTTTCTATTTTCCTCCCTCCTGAAGATTTGGGACTAGATTTCCCCTGGGTACACCTTACTTTGCCCGAGAGTTTTAAGAAGAATGCCTGCTCTGTACATGCCGGGTGCAGGGTCCTCACAGTCTTGCTATTTGTGCTGTTCACATCTTCTGTGTTTTTAACTAAGGGTTTGCATATTGGTCTCTCAGTTTTTGTGAAAACCAAAACCAAAAGCCACTGCCGTCGAGTTTATCTGACTCATAGCGACCCCCGCAGGGTCTCCAAGGCTGTCAGTCTTCACGGAAGCAGACTGCATCTTTCTTCTGCAGAGCAGCTGCTGGGTTTGAACCTCTGACCTTCTGGTTAGCGGCCGAGTGCCTTACCCACTGCTCCACCGGAGCTCTTCATCAAATATTGAGAGAGGTGTTAAAATACCCACTGTTGCCAGCTCTGCCTGTGGCTCTAAGCCTGGTGGCGTGTGGGCGTTGCGGTACTAGATCAGTGTTTCAACTGTTTTAAGAATCCGGTGAGTTGCCCGTTTTGTCTCTTACCTTCTCATTGCTTTTTGTCTGGAAGTCTGTTTTGCCCGCCAGCACTGTAAGTCCACTGTAGCTTTTTTGAGCTTTTTATGATGAGCTTTCCCGTGATTTTATGTTTTGGGCGTGTCTTTTTCTGGATTAAAACAGCACTTCAGCCTCGTGATCCATCTCGGCGCCAGTGACCGTGTTTCTCCTGGTTGCTGAGGCACCTGGATGGTGTCTGTCCTCTTAGCACCGTTTATTTCTTCTGTCCTTTTCCATCACTCAGTTACTGACATCGGTTTTCCATGTTTTTTCCTAGAGAGAGAAGCTAAAAGTCCATTTGTAGCATTTTGGTATTTACCCTTTATATTTAAATTTTATCAGTATCCTTAACCTCCTTGCAAACTCCACCAAAACCACAGACAATTTCAGTTCTCTGCACCTCCCTCCTGCCCGCTGTCTGTGTCCAGTATTTTCGATCTTGTTCTCTGTAACTCCACAAGTTAGAAAATCCTACCGCTGTGCTTTCTGACTAGTGTGTGTTGTGACTCACCTACGTATCAGCACCTCTCTGTTTACGGCCTCTCCTTGCTTTCAATCCTTCTTCATGGGACAGTTTTCACTCCTCTTAAGGAGAATGGTTTCGTGGAAGGTCCTTTACTGATGGCAGATGTTGGTAAACCATTTCAGCCTTTTGTTTATCAGAAAATGCCTTTTTTAAAACACCCAGTCCCAGGTTACCTTCTCGTTATGTTCCTTCGTCACTTGGAAATATGCTCACGTATTCTCTGCCGCCACCCTTGGCATTGACAAGTCTGTGCAAAGCCCAGTTATTCTTTTTCAGACATGGTCTGTTCTCTCTGGGCGCTTTTAAGATTCCCTCTTGGCTTTGAAGCCTGAATGAAACTTGGTACAGGTAAGTCAAATTCCTCTAAGGGAGTAGTCGTGTCTCTCGCCCACCGGCAAAGACCAGTCATCTCCTTTCACTGAGCGTTGTCTCTGGCCCACTCTGTTCTCACCCTGATGCTCTGGTTATTTCTACCTTGTGTCTTACTCCATGTGCCAAGCCTCCTAGTCTTGTTAGGGGTCACAGACACAAACATGAACGTGTAACCGCAGGTTCAAGAGAGCCCCCCTAAGCAACGCCCCACTGCTGCACTAACTTCCTGCACGTTGTTTTTCAGACACCCCCACGAAGTCCCAGACCAGATCGGTTGAAACCATCCTAAGCCCGTGGAGCCACTGTAGAGGAGCTTGCCCCAGTCCTGAGATGACCTAGTGACGAGTCCCCCACAGAAACTCCCCCACCAAGCACGCTAAGACCACCGCTGTTTGACCATGAGATGCATGGCGACGCGGGTTTGCTGCCTGTGTGGGCCCCCACACCCTCCTCCCTGTGCACTGGGAATTCCTGGAAGTAAGATGAGTGTGCGCACCCTCCTTATGGACCAAACCCTGTGATGTTCTCTGATCGGGGAGTCCGATCTGGGCACGCTCCCCTGGCTCCCGACGTGCACGCCTCGACCCTGATGCTGAGCGGACTGGCTCACTCACACTGCAATAGGACCCCTCATGCTGTACCTCTGTGTCTCTCCTTTGTGTTTTTTGTCACGGGGCTGCTTCTTGTCCGGTCACTTGTTACTGTGCCCTTCAGCTCTCGGGCCCTCGTGGCAGCGGCCCATCTGCATCTACAGGTTCTGTGGACGTGGGCTTCCCCCAACGTGGTCAGGCCGGCCTGCCAGCGCTTACGGCGCGTCCTGCCCTCGCGTTTCCCCTTATGTTCCACACTCCTGACCCCAGTGTTTGGGACCTGGTGGGCTCCTGCTTCCTCGCTGCTGCGTTGTGTTTCTCTCCGACTTTGCTTGCGACCAGGTCTTTTGGGGACACGTCTGTGAGAAGCTGCTTTCTGGGTAAGGGTCTGTTCCTTCCGTTCTTTTCCAGGCATCCGCAGGGCGAAACCAACCACGTCCCACCGATACTTCTCGGCTTGGCTTGGGGTTTACCATCAGCCTCACCATGGACAACACAAACCCCATGGTCCCCCGAGCATTTCTGTTCCCCGGGAGGCTTCACACTCCTGTTTCCGTCCAGGCAGAACCAACCCCGCGAGACAGGTTTCCTTGTGCAGGACGTGCTTCGTTCCTGGTTGGACGTCCCGCCTCAGTCCTTTCGGTCACTCTGCACACAGACACGTGCTCTCTTTGAAGGGACTTCAGCACGGCGTTCTCACGCTCACCCTTGCCCCGTGGCTGACCCTGGACCTGCTGCTGCTTTCGCGAAAAGTCTCCGCTTCTTTTGCTGCCCGACCGAAGTGCCGTCCCCCTGAGCTCAAGATGTTATGGGTTGAATTGTGTCTCCCAGAAGCCATGTTTAAGTCCTGACACCCAAGCCAGTGAACGTGGCCTTGTCTGGGGAAGCAGGGTCTTTCACTGAAGATGTCAGTGAAGCCATCCTGGTCAGGGTGGGACCCAGTCCCATCCCTTCTGGGACATGGAGACAGTCATACACAGGGAGTCACCAGGTGAGGATCTGTCTGCAAGACAAGGATCGCCCGGGACACAGGCCTGGAGGAGACTAGGGCGGGCCCTCCCCTGGAGCTGGTGGACCACGGCCCTGCTGATGCCTGTCTTAAGCTCCGAGCCTCCAGCACCAGGAGACAATCGATTCCTGCCCTTCAGAGCCACACACCCGTGGTTTCATTATGGCAGCTCTAGGAGCCCAGGCAGGGTGGGAATCGGCAGTGCCTGTGGGCAGTGGCTCCTGGGCAGCTGCCTGGACAGTGGGTGTGACCACAGAGCCTGTGCTGAGAAATGGGAGTCGGGACCCCGACCCCCTTCCCCAAGGGCCCTTTCCTCCATGTGTCAGTCTCGCCCCTACATGGGTCTCCTTCATGGCCCTCGGCCACCCTGGGGTCAGAAGCTCTGACCACATGCCACTCAGAGGTGGCCTTTGGACCCTCCCCATCGACACTGAGGCTCTCCACGGTAGAGGTGCCCCCGACGACCCCACGCACAGCGGACCCAAGTGCGGCCCGGCCCTGCACCATCCTCATCATCGGCTGTGGGCAGCGTCACTGTCCCATCAGTGTGACCACACTGGCTGATTTTCAAAAGCCAATCACCAGGCCATCCTAGCTCATCTTGGCTGCAAGGTCTGCTGAAACCCTTCCCCATCTAGGTGACCCACAAGCCTCCGCTGACGGACAGTGGGTGCGTGAGCTGCGCTGGCCGGGAATTGAACCCAGGCTTCCCGCGTGGAGGCGAGAACCACTGCACCACCCACCACTGCCTCAGCAGCCAGCCAGGAGGCATCCCGGCCGGCTGATGGCTCAGCTAGCTTGTTGCGTCATCTTCATTCATTTCTCCAAGATGCCCTTCCACCCAGCGTCTCAACAGCTGGGGCTCTAACTGGCACTCCAGCCGCACCCACGCAGGGAGACCCATCTCTCCACAGCTGGAGGTGCCTCCCATACGCTTCCCATGGTAAAGATGTCTCCCTTTTCCTGCATGAAAGCCCCAGAAACCTTTAAACTGACCAGTAAGACTTCAGCCCCAGCTTGTCCCATACACAAGCTTCTCCTTCAGCTCTGGCTGTGGCTGTCCCTGCCCTGCGTCCAGGTGTGCCGTGGCTCTGTCCCCAGGGCAGCACCGGGCAGCCCTGCCCCCAGGTATGCTGGCTTTCCTTGGGCCACACCTGAGCTTGGGCCGCTGAGCTGTGCGGCCCCCGGGTCGAAAGTCCCCTGACTGTTCCCCTCTTGCGCGGCTCCTGGGAAATCAGACCTCGGGTTGATCAACAGAAAACAGATTTAATGGCACAGACGCCAGCAGTCTGTGGTGGGACACTCCGCGTGCCAAGTGCACCCATCTGGAGGGCTCAGTCCGGGACTCCAGGGCCTCCCAGGCCCTCAGGGCAGGCTCTGGCCCAGGATGGCAGCGGTCAGCGTCAAACACACGGCCCGGCCACCCCCTGAGCCCTGCCGCTCACTCGCGCTCCCGAGAAAATCTCGGAACGTGGTCTCGTTCACCTCCGGGCCCCAGTCGTTGCACAGGGACTGCTTGCAGCACCTGGCGTACAAGAAGGGCGTGCGTTTCCCGATGATGAAGGGCTTGGGGGTCGGGGGCGCAGGGACAGTGATGATGGGGCAGTACTGGGAGCACTGCTTGGAGACCATGTAGAAGCGCGGGAATATCTCTAGACAGAAAGACAAGAGCAGCATGAGTGCGGGCACCGGCTGTGCCCACTGGTGCCCGTCCCACCCTTGCCCTCCGGCACCCTCTCCAAGTCACTCACTCAAAGGGGGCCACAGCCAGGAAGGGGGCCAGGTGTGGGCTCGCGGCTATACCTGGGGGTGGTCCCCAGCCTGCTGCCCTGCGTCTGGGTGGTCTCTGGGAGCATGCAGGCTGCCGGGGCCTCAGCTTCTTACCACGGGGCTGGCTCTGGCCTCACTGACCCCAGACAGACACAGGTGTGGGGTCGGGCACACAGCCAGAACTTGTCTGAGGTGCAAGGGTCCCTCAGGCCAGCTGTCGGGCCAGAGGCACAGCCCACTGAGGGTGCCTGCCTCTCAAGGCTGCGGGTGGTTAGCGGCTGTGACGGACACGGTTGTGCTCCCCAAATACATGTGGCCATCTAAACCCTGAACCTGTGGACGTGGGTGCACCTGGGACTAAGGGTCTCTGTTGTATGAACGAGGCCATGTGTAGGCTGTGTCCTAAACCCAGGGACTCGGAGAGAGAAAAGGGGCAGAGCAGGCCCAGAGGGGCCCACACAGACGGGGGACAAAGACGCTGCGTGGAGACGGCCACGGAACCGACCAACAGGGCCTAGAGCGGCTGAGACAGGCCCTGAGCATGAGCGTGTATGCTCCCACCCTGTGGGAGAAGAGACGGCTGCCCTAAAACCATGAACTCGGGGCATTTCTGCCGGGACAGAGCTACGACACAAGACAGCGGTCTTGTCTTCTACGTAAACGCTTTTCCATATTGTAAAGTCCATGCTGCCTGACAGAATCTTAACCACCACCTCAGCAGCCCACAAACTGCCTGGGATGCAGAAGGACCTGGAAGGGCCTGCAGATTGAGCTGGAACCCCCCGCCTCAGCGCACACTGCGGTCCCCCCCCTGCCTCAAAGCGCACTGTGGTCCCCCCCCTGCCTCAGAGCAC